CTTTCTTCTGTATCATTTTTTCCTAGAAATAGAATAAAAATAGACATGGCAGAAAAGAACTGTTTCATTCTGACCATGATTGTAAAAACAACCAACATGAGAATAAACACCGTATACTCAATTTACGCATCCTGCCTTAAAACTGTATATGTAGACACATGCTTCCAGTGGTGCTTTGGAAAGAGCTGTGACTGGCTGGGGCGGGCTCTGCAGATCCAACTGGGAAGGCTGGTGCTCACAAGTGTATCCCTGACTTTGAGATCCAGGCTGGGGAACGAGCATCACTGTGCAAACGCAGTCACTGCCCACGGGGCTCAAGGCAGCAGCCAGACAGCCCAGACCCCCTTGCAAAGAGGGGATCAACACCAACCTGATCCAAGGCTTGTGGCTGGAGCCCAACGCTCCCTTCAGCCCCCACTCTACTGCAAGAGAACAGTGCAAGAACATTTCACATTACGTGTTTCCATCTTTTTAAAGTTAAGAAATGGATACCACTATTTTCCTTAATCTTCAGGTTACATTCATTGTGTGGCCATGAAAGTGGTATCACTAGGAACTTATTCTACTATCATTATATCAAAAAACCAAAATATTCACTTGAAGAATCTGTCTCTCAAGATACTAATTAAAGCGGGGGTTTTTGAGATTTCAATCATATTTGGGTGCTTCTGAAAACTATTGATTTGAAAAAATCCAGGACTGGCTCCCAATAACTGTGTTATTAAAACTGTACATCAGCAAATGCATTTACTCTTTTATCCTCTATCTTTTGTATGCTTTGTTCAGTTAGAAACCCAAATCAGCATAAAATGCTTGCCAAAGGAAGGGAGAAATGTATTCAGATTTAATCTAGTGATTATGGTTCATTCGCCGCAAACAGCTCTTTCATCAAGGCCATCAGGTGAATTATTAACCTCTTCCATCCACAAACAGAAAAATATCTTCAGTCACGAGGAAGCAGTACAAAAAAAAGGGTACACGAGTTATTTGTGAGCACATCTGAAAGGCACACAGGAAGGCTCGCTCCACTGTGGAATATACTGCTTGTGGGGTGGAAGTGGGGCAGAAAAGCCATCATCTGATGCCCTGTGAGGTTGACAAGGTGGCCATCCTGGCAGGAGAAGTGACATCCTGGTGTCCTGGCATCTTGCTGCTTCTCTGTGGCTCTGCCTCTGCCCAGCCATGTATGGCAACACACGGCGAGAAAAAACATTCGCAGGGAAGTGTTTCACCGAAGTGGCTGTTGTCTCAAAGATGATGTTATTGCAAATGAACTTCTGCTGCTCTCACCCTCCAGAAGAGCAGAGAGGCTGCTGCTGCTTGGTAGCAGCAAGCCATAAGCTCTTCTCGCAGGTTACTCACAGGGCTACTACAGCCAAATCTCACCAGTTCACTCCCTGTTATCGATGTGGGACTGGCATGTCTCCAGCCCCAGAGGTGCAGCCTGACCTTGGTGTGACCAGTGGTTTCAGCAGACCACTGGTTTCAAGCAGCTGGGGAGCAGGTGCTCAACAGGTAGTACAGCTTCTGAGCAATTAATTCAGCACATAAATAGAGTAGCAGTGAGCAGGTACACACTGCCGTTCTTTCTGGTCACCCCTGACGCCGGTCTCCAGGCTTTGCAACAGGTAAGAGGCGTTTCTGGGTGCAGGCTGTGGGAAGGGGACTCTTGGCTGTGCTGGGGGGGGCCGGAGTTTAATTTGGATTTTCTCCCAGGCAAAGGATTATTGGGGCCAATGAAGCCAAACAGGGTGAGAGAACAGCTTTGGCAGCAGTGGGAGGAAAGAAAGAGAGGGAAGATAAAGAAACCCACACTGGCAAGGCTGAAAAATGAAGGGGTAAATGGGGTACGTTGGTAAGTGAGAATCAAGGCAAACTCGTGGTATTCCAAAATGTAGGTAAGGGAAAGGAGGCAAAAGTAAAAATTAGTTTAAACAGAAGGAGAGAGAAAACAATGAAATAAACTCATCAAAGTGTCTCCCCTGCCCTACCTTTAGCAGGGAGCCTGTCACACCAAAGGCATCACCCAGCAGCAACAAGCAGCACTTCCCACTGACCTCTGCAGAGTTCCCCTGAAACTCGGGTCCATCTGCATGGACCAGAGGTCCTGGGATAGCTCTTGGTCACACTAGAGCAACCATTTGATTCAGAACACAAATCATCACCATACAAACTAGTACAAAAACAGCACCTTGTTTTACATGATCTCCTTAAATCATATTTTGTATTTTGCTCTCATATCAGACTGCTGTGAGTTTTGAGAATAAAAGCCCTTGAAGGCAGATGTATTTGACTAAGCAACCACAAAACTTCATCTTTGGCCTGCATACTTTTTAAGAAGTAAAATAATTCCTCGAAAGTGCAAAAAAAAAAAAAAAAGAATTTTAAAATTGGGCATTAACACCATGCAATGAAACATTATCCAAGGAGCTAAGAAAACCTGGAGGCAGACGTGGCTCCTTGCCAGCCACCAGACCTGCCGCTTTCACTGACCAAGGGAAGCCAGCGCTAACAGGCTGGGAGCTGGACATCACCGCAGCTCCAGCTCCAGTTTAGTTCCCAGCTGCTGAACAGGTGGCGCTGGTAATGCTTGAGGCAGAAGTGACCACGTTTGTTTGTTTCTTCATTTCAAAATTAATCTGCTGACAGATGCTAAACCAAAGTAGAGGGCTGCCACCAATAGCGGGACATTGCTGTTCCTCAGCTGCACTCACTGACATCTCACTTCTGAAATGATTCGTTTTGTTCCAAAAAACAGACACAAGCAGTGGGGCTGTATCAGGCTCTGGAAAGTACTGCACAGCTTGAGAAAAAAACAAAACAAAACAAAAAACCCCAAAAAAACAAACAACCCACAAAACAATAAAAGCATGCTGTAAACCAAGTTCACTTCTCTGTTACACCTAGGCAAAAAAATCATTGAAATAAGAGTCACCAGTAGGTTGAGCTTCACACATTTTAACTAGTCACATTATAGTAGAATGCGGTTGTTTCCAAACTGTGTTTTCTGCTTTCAAATCCTAGTTTGGAGCAAGGGCTCAGAGGTCTCTCAGTAGGGAGGACTTTCTCCTGCTTCTAATATAAATTCCCATCTGCCTCATGGGTGTGATCCCAAGTAAGGGCAAATGGAAAAAGAGGAACAGTCCTTGCCTTTAACACGATCAATACAACCGCCAAAAACCAGCAGGTATTTAATAAATGCCATGTAGACTGTTTTATTTGACCTTCTGTTCACAAAATAATTTTACTATATGTATGAAAGCAGCATACAGGCAATAAAATTATGAAAACATTCACAATACATAAATACACAGACCTGATGCAGGATGTATATATTTCATTAGACTTTAAATTTTTTTTCCTCTCAGTTCTCTTTTCCTGACAACACGTTTTCATATATATATGTTATGAAAAAGTTGCTCCAAAGTGTATTTTCTCCCATTCAGAAAACAAATAGCTTTCTCTGAATGCTGCTGAATGTTAACACCCAATGCTCCTGTTGCTAACATTCACTGATTGCTACTGGCATTCCAAAGGGGAAGCTGAAGGGAAGGACAATGGAAAAGTAGAAGGTTTTTTGAATTAAACATTGGCAACTTTTCTGGAGCTCACAGAACTTTTCTGAGGCCAGGGTTGCAGTTCCGTCCATATTTAGAAATGTCTTAATCCAAAATGGTAATGAGGCACTATTCCTTATTGAATGGACTGTTGATGTGGTAATTACTAAAATGTAATGTCCTCCTAGTTTCCAAAGTAAAGCACTAAGTGCCTCACTTTTTAATTCTGACCGTGATACAGCAGCAGACAGACAGCATGATCCTGGTGGTACTGCAATAATACAGATGATAATAAGGTTTGGCATGTTTACTACCATTATAACCAATTGTGTTTGTTCAGAAAAAGATATCCAAGACTTGAAATAAGAAAAGTCTGAGAAAGCTGTTTATCTTACATAAATACAAAACATTATATACTAAGAATTGCTATCTAAGAAGCTTTCTTCTCAAACTGGATTCTTCTTAAGGTTGTAATCATATTTAAGGTATTTACAGATCCACAAACTTGACATTCTAGCAAAGTCTTTGTAACATGAAACTTTTTTAAAAATAAATAGCAGCAATTTGTTTTATTTCTGTAAGGGAATAGAATTCACAACTCAGTCAACGCTGGTCCTATCTTTTGAAAGAAATCCCACTTTAAAAAAAAAAAGCCTACAAGCAAACAAACTTCACACAGCATCAGTTTCGTTGACTCCTTCATTTCTTGCTGAGCTTCATAACATTCCTTCATTCCCTTCACCAGCTCCCCAGACTATGAGAGCTTGTAATAAAGTGCTGACTGGTTGACTGGTCAAAATGCAGTTATGACACTCCAAAAATATCCCATTATTTAGACATCTTGAATAACATAAATAAAGCTAGATCTGTTATAACATATGAAAAATATCAATTTAAAACAATAAATAAATAAATAAAACCAGTATCAACATATTACCTCCCAAAGCTTTAAAAATAACCATTCTCATTATAAGGCTCAATTATTTGTCAGAAATAATTTTAAGAAGGCATCTACCTACCTTTACAATCCCTCAGTCTTTCACTGGGACCTGTTAACACCCACTATCACAAGACACAGCAATCTTTTAACTTCTAGTAAACATTAATCTTTAAATATTTAACATTTATCTTTTGCCTCATTTTAAGCTAGAAATTGGTTTCTCTGTGTAAAGAAGCAATAGTTTCTTTGTCATGGCACTGTATCTAAATTTGTATATTTTCCTCAGTACAAACAGTACAGTTTGAAATCCTTTTTTTTAACCTATTTTCAGTATCTTTTCCTGTTTATTGTTTTAAATTTAAATTTGCTTTGAATTCACCAGGAAAATTAATTATGGGCTGGTGTAAATGTGTATTTCTCCCTAGAACTTGGTTTCTTACCAAAAAATCTTGTATATCTTTTTTTTTTAATTAAAAAAAAAAAAGAAAAAAATCATTACAATACACACTAGTAGGTCCTGCTGGGTAAACCTTACTGTTCAGGTTTTATGCTGCCCATTCTGTGTAATGGGATTGATCTTTTCCAAAGAAACATCAGCTTCATAATCCAGGATACCTGACAGTGCTGGAGACATTTTCTCTAAGGTCTTAGATAGTTCACTCTCTTCTTCCTTTTTGAGAGGTTCTTCTTCCGGACAGATAATTGCATGTGGAATCAGATAAACCAGATTAGACTCTTTGGGGCTGGAGCCTTTGGGCTCGTGTTGGCTGGAAAAAACAACTGCTCCGTTGTTGTTAATACTAACAGTCTCTATAGCGTTGCTGGACACCGGGCAGAGCCTGTAGCATCCCAGCAGGGTTGAAAATGCCTTGCGGAAATCAGCATTGAAGGCATAAATTATGGGGTTGAGGGAAGAATTAGCCCATCCAAACCAAACAAAAACATCAAAGGTGGTGGAATTAATGCAGAAAGCTTCTGCTCCCTTGGATGGTTGAGTAGGCTCGCAGAAGGGAATCATGCAGTTCAATACGAAAAATGGCAACCAGCAGCACACAAACACTCCCATGATCACCGACAAAGTCTTTAAAACCTTTGTTTCCCTCTTGAAAGACATTTTGAAGTTGCTCTCTGGTTGCTGGCAGTCCATGCTGCTCCTGTTGCCGCTCGTGTTCTGGCAGTTCTTGGCATGCACTGCTGCTCTCTCCAAAGCTGAGATGCGTCGTATTTGCTTCTGAGCAATCCGGTATATCCTCGTGTAAGTCACTATCATGATGGCCACAGGTATATAGAAGCTAATTAGAGAAGAGGAGATGGCATACATCCTGTTTAGGCTAGAATCACAGTTTTCCATGCTTATACCTTGAAAGCTGGCATTTAGGTCCAAAAAACTTGTGGTTGTAGCCTTGTGCCAGTTCAGCTGCACAGGGATGAAGGAAATCAACACGGACAAAGTCCACGCCACGCTGATCATGATGAAGGCTGCCTTGGGGGTCATTTTCCGCTCATACCTGAACGGGCTGGAGATGGCCCAGTATCTGTCCACACTAATGACACAGAGATTTAAGATGGAGGCTGTTGAGCACATAATATCAAAGGCCACCCAGATGTTGCAAAATGAACCAAAAGGCCAGAAACCAGCAATCTCAGCCACAGCTTTCCACGGCATAACCAAAACTGCAACTAAGAGATCTGACACAGCCAAGGAGATGACAAAGAAGTTGGTCACCTTGGACCTGAGGTGGCGAAACCTAATGACAGCTGCACAGACCAATGTGTTTCCCAGCAGTGTGGAGAGGATCAGCAGTGAGAGGAAGCAGCCCGTGAGGATCCGAAAGGAAGAGTCCCTTTCCACCAGCAACCCTTCCCCGTCCATAGTGGTGTCGTTCCAAGTCATAGCTTCTCCTGAGGGAAAATTATATCATGATTTTCATGACGACATCAGCTCCTTTCCTTGCAGAAATCAGAGACATCAGATGTCCTTTAATTACTCATCACCAAACAGACCAAAGGTCTTTTCTTACGGTCCCTTGGCCCCGGATATACTTCACTCACTTTGAACAACACTGAAATCTCTATGAGCAGGAACTGAAAAAGCACAAATACAGCCCACTCCACAGACTAGTTTTTTTAAGCAATCCCTTCAGAAACACACTGCACCATCCCAGCATGAAGTAGCCTCATTCAGACAGCTCACCTGCAAATCTTCTGCTGCTGTCCTCTGCAAATACACCCCACAGACAGGAAAGCGATCACTTTTCCATGCTTGCATATATTCCCACTTAAACAGGCTACTGACTGAGTGTTTCCAGCGTCCATTGCACTAGCCTTTCGTATTTACTGAAGCGCGCTATATGAGGTGCTTTTTCTCCAGTTTAGTTTCCTAAATGTCTCACTGATTAAACACTTCATCCTTCCTCCTCCGTACACTCCCTTTACAAAATGCATCAGCTCTCTGCTTCTGGGCAGCATCAGAGAGCAATTCTTCACTTTGTTTCAAACTGCTTAAGGTTTACACTTTCAAGACAAGGAAAATAAAAATACGGTAGGTGTGTTTTAAATAAAGGTTTGCACTAAGTAGCTCAGATTATTTAGTTCTATTTAAACGAGAAATTCTGGCTCCTACCTTTCACTTCTGATTCTCTGTTTGTTCTGGGATGCAGGACTGTCTCTCCTCCTCTTTTAGTTTTGGAATTGCATAGCAAATCTTATACACAAAACCAACACAGAAACACTGCATTGCATCAGGCGTGAGTGTGGTTTTTTTCCCTGAAAGTGCAAATTGGCAGGGGAGAAGTGAGAACAGGAGCTGGCAGAGTTTGACCATCAGGAGTTAGCTTTCAAGGAAGCAGCAGGTCTGCGCTGTCGGATCATGCGTAACAGACCTTGGTTGCATGTGTCCAGCTTCTTCCATCCCTGCTGATCACTCTGCAAACTTTGTTGGTCGGATCAGTCCCAGACGCACTTTGTACATCCCGTCGAAGCGGCACATCAGGGAAAATCATCCCAGGCAAAAGGCACGGTATTCCCAACGCTGGCTAGAGCCGAGGACCAGTTCTTTCTTCTGTCGTGCACTGGAAGAAGAAAGAAGGGCGAGAGGAGGAGAGGGACCTGAGTGATCCCCCCCTTGGCCACGACGCGGGATGCGACGCCGGCGACGCCCGCAGCCGGTTCCTCTTCCAGCGGGGACAAGTGGCTTTAACGCTCCGCTGCCGGGTTACAGCTCTCCGTAACTGCCCCGGGATAATCCCACTTCCTCAATTGCGCTTCAGGGATCGGGTCCAGTTTTTAACATGCTTTTCCCTCCCTCAGAAAAGTGCGGGCGGAGGCAGCTCCTCAGGCTCTCCCGCAGCCCGGGGCGGGCCGCGCATCCCCGGTACCGAGAGCTCCCGGTGGCAAAGGCTTTCTTCTGCCCGGGGCCGGACTCGGCGGCATCGCCCCTCCAGGAAAGGTCTGTCTGCCCGGCGTCTCCTTCCTATAG